CAGCTCTGATCCTCCCCACCTTGGTCTTACCCAAGATGGTGGCTCCAGGAGCAGCTGAGCATCTTGGATTAGAAAGCAATGGATTTCTTGCTTCTGCTACAATTTCCCTTAGCTGTAAGCCTTCCAACCTTCTAAATATTCCTTTATATGTGGTTCAGAGTCTGGCACCATACCTGGTGAGTCTGCTTGGTCTGGTATTCTGTGTTGTTGCGGATGGAGGTCCTCACTGCATCTTATTTGTTCTCAAGAGAATTTTTGAGAAAAATGTTTAAGGGGTAATCACTGATTCAGTTCCCAGGTCTAGCCAGTGTCAAATGAGCCAGTTCTATCCACCTAAACGAGTCCTGTTGTGGCGCTGTGGGTTAATGCCCCAGACTGCAAAGCCATTTGAACTGCAAGGTTGGCGGTTCAAGCTCACCAGCTGCTCCTTGGAAACCCTATACAGGGTCGCTATGGGTTGGAACCGACTCAACAGCACTTCACAACAACAACAACATCCACCTAAAGCTGAGAATAGAAACTTATGGTATTTAATCAATGAATTGGTACCACCAAGGGGCCGGACTTCTCAATGTCTGCCCTACACCCACCCAGTGAATGTTTCTTTGAAAAGCCAGGTCTCTCCACATGGTTCACATGTGTTTTGACTAGAAAAAGAGCTCCTGGTGATCAGGAACAAGTCACCTGTACGACAGCATGCTCTTTTACTCGACTGAGATCCAAATTCTGCTGGGTCCGTCGTTCTTTGTGACTACGCAACTACAGGCCATTCAGGGAGGAGAGTGCTAGCTTGTCAGGCTCTGGGCCCGTGAGCAGAATTTTCAGCGATGCTCAGTAAACTTAGCAGGGTAAACTGATGTTCTCCCAGGGCGCGTGGGGCAATGATGGGGAACAAGGATGTGGTCAGCACTTCTAGGCCATCAACCAGGACCACTGAAAGGGCAGGCTGCCAACACCTCAGCCAGGCCCTGAGCCCGTGAGACTGCCTGACTTCGTTCCCTAGCACTGCTCTACCGAAATACCACACATGCATGGCTTACACCATCAGAACGTAGTCTCTCACAGTTCTGGCTGCTTCTCTCTCTGTGGGCTTTCGAAGAAGATCCCTGTCTCTTTGACCTTTTGCTTCTGGGTGAGCTCCGTGTGGCCTGGCATGTCTCTTCTGCGTCTCCGTGCTGCTTAAACTGTTGAATCTCTTTTCTATCTCATAAGAGATGGAAGCTAGACCCACCCTACACTAATCTGCCTCAGACACACAGTGAAGGAAAACCATTTCCCAATGGATTATAACCCCAAATGCATCTGTAAATCCCAGGCCTGGAGGCTGGGATTTACAGATGCATTTGGGGGATCCAACTCAACCCATAAAACCATGGTGCAGCACACACCTTGAAGCCTGCATGCTTTTCTGGAAAGGTCCAGCAGGATGACAGAGCAGCATGTTCCTACTACTCAGAATGTTCTAGAAGACGGTGACAAACGTCCACCCTTTCCTGTGTGGCTTTGATCTTGGCAGTGGCTTGGGGAATGGACTGTCCAGTCAAGGCATGAAGCGTAAGCCTACGAGAGGGGCTGGCTGCTTGAGTGGGGTCCACAGCTGGCTCCCAGGACCGAGAACTCCCACAGAACCTCATTGGCATGTAGAGACTCTGCTTTTGAATGAAATACACCGACACGCATGCCCACATCTGATTCAGCGGCCACGTCTCCCACCCCATGACTAACAAAGGAGCTGCCTGTCCAGCCTTATGAGGACCATGAAGTAGACACATGGGAGGGGACGGGCCGCAGCTGTCAGCCCCATCCCGGAAGTTTCCAGCATAACCAGATGACAACATTCACGATCACTGAGAGTCCGTCTCCCAGAGCCTGAGGGCAAGTAGCTATTTCCCAACAAGGTACACGGTCACAATTTCACGTCAAGATTCCCAGGTGTTTCTTGGTACGTTGAGAAAGTGTATGTTTTCATAAGCACTGGCCTCTTTTCTGTACATCGGGGCGCGGATGGATTGGTCCTTTGAAAGGGCCCGTCATAGGGACTGACTTTCAGACACTGAGGCGGCGGCCTGGAGCACTAAACGCATCATCAGTGGCCCCAACAGTGCAGGGTCCTCTTAGAACACAATGCAGCCACAGACATCCCGGACCCGTCGCTACAATTAATGCCAGCAACGCAGGACGGTCTTTAATCTGTACAATTGTTTTATTGTACAAAACGTTTCCAGTAACAGTAAATTAGGTTAAAAAAAAAAAAAAAGACACACAAAAAAAGTCGTTTGGGATAGAAGCGCTTCCCTAATTGCTTTATTTAAGCGTACAAGAAAAAAGTCTTATCTGACCAATTAGGGTGGGAGGGTTTTATTACCTTGAAGAAACCATTAGCTCGGATAAAACATTGAAAGCGCTTGTGTCAAAACAAATAAATAATGCTCTCTCAACAGCAGACAAGGCAGTCAATCCGTTCATCAGGGACACACATGGTGCAGCCCCTCTCCCTCAGTCCACAGCAGACAGGGGGAGAGGTCAGCAGGTGCGCGGGGGTGGGTGGGCAGGGGCTGACAGTGAGCACTCACATTACCCCTCTCCTCTCTGGACTGCTGAGCCTCCCCGTCCTTCCTCGGACCTAGGGGCAGGTGGTGCAGAGCTGTCGTCGAGTGAGGGGGGGGGAGCAGGACCAAAGCATGATTATCAGTTTCCTTAACTTCCCCAAATGTGGCTGATTGTCCACTGGTCAACAGTACTTAGGAGAGACTGAGCAGTGGGCGGCAGGCAGCCCCCTCCCTACAGGACAACCAGACACATTTTCAATCAGATCCATGATTTTACCCACATGGGTGGCGGGGACTGACAGAAATCAACCCTAATTACCCTAACCACCAAAAAGAAAAAGAAACAATGACATGCCTTCTCAGGGGTCAGGAAGGCAGGGCACTTGGTATTGCCACCACAGCCGCCACACCAAGGCAACCCGACTTCTGAAGGCCTAGACCCAGTTAGACGCGCTCGGCTGATAAACAGAACGGTAGTTTGAATCCCCCAAGAGGTCTCAGCAGAAAAGATCTGGAGATCTACTTCAGAAAAAGCAGCCATTGAAAGTCGTAAGGAGCACAGCTCCCCATACGGAGCCCCTGAGACTCGAGACCAGTCTGGGTGGTTTATAAGGTGCACCTATAGCTCCTTGAGGGCCGGCAGCAGCCCCCACAATTCAGGGATGGCCAAGGACGGGTGTCCCCTTTTCTAATGAATAACCTTTCTTCAGAGAACACAATGCTGTTTCCTCAAATGCTACCTTCCCATCTGGCCAAACCAACAAGGAAACGAGCAGGGGCTTAAAGGCACCCCCCTCCCCTCCCCCACAGGAGTCAGGGCTGGGCAGGGCCGGTTACTACCACATTCTAGACTTCAAGTGACATTTCCAGAAACAACTTCAAAGCCAACTCTAGAAAGACACTTGGTGTGACTGGCCTAAATAAAATACAACACATTCAACGAGGGCAGCTCTTCCTTAAACCTTTTCAGCGAGGCAAAAATGATGGAAGTCATAAAAAATTGCATTAAAACCATACAGTTTGTTGTCTTAAAAAAGCCAAAGCCCGCTCCTTCAAGTGGACTCTGACTCACAGTGGTCCCACAGGGCAGAGCAGTGCCACACCACAGCATCTCCAAGGCTGTGAACCTTTACGGAAACAAGACTGCCACGTCCTTGGAGCAACTTGGTGGGTTTGAACCATCAATCTTAGGACCAACAGAAATAAGACCAACATCCGTTTTCAGTATTACCATCACTTTTTCCACATTACCCTATAGCCTCAGGAATGTATTTAAGCACCGTAGAGATAATACCAATTAGCCAGCACTGGAAATCCGATCCGCTCACACAGACAAGGGTTTCTTCAGTGAAAGCTCTCCCAGGCCTGAGAAACAGGCTTATTTTCTGGGCATTGCTCAGTGGCCATGAAGAGTCAATAAATCAAAGCACTTGATGGAATATTTTACTTTGAGATGGAGTGATGTTTGGTTAATAATTTGAGACCCACTAATCTTAAATGGGGTGACCCATTTAAAGTGGCCTCTGTGTAAATTCACAGTTCATTAAACGGAGTCTGGTTTGGGCAGGTCCTTGTGCAGTGACTGCATGGATAATGGACCACGCACAGACCACAGGACACATTGCCAGGTCTGCTGACTACGACGACACCGTCAAACTCCTGGTTTGTGGGAAGCTAGCTCAAATCGTCAACTGTCCAACATAGGTGTTGACCTTTGCAACCCTTTTGGGTTTACATACAAAATGCAGTGCACAAATCTTAACCAAGGACCACATCACTTAGAAAGACTTTAAACTTAGGAAGCTGCTTAAGTGACCCATCTAAGTGTGCTAATTAACATTGATGATGGCTTCGTATTTCTCACACTTTGTTACTCCGATCATTAACAGTGATGGAAAAGCTAAATTAAGTGAATGGGGAACAGATTATAAATTCTTAACGGACTTCTCACTTTCTTCTCAAGTGGAAAATCGATAAAGAAAAATGAAGAGGCATTTTTGCCTCTACTCATAAATTTCTGATACCAAATCTTTTAAAAACCAGACGGTTTAAAAATTTTTTTTTTCTTTTTCGAAAAGATTTTCACACTCTTCTCAGCCATGGCTGTTAAAAAAAATTAGATAGCAGATTCACATCTAACATTTAACAGCTTCTGCCTGGGACTGCAAACGTTCATCTCTTAAAAAAACAAACAAAAAAACACAACAAAACCCACGTCTACGTGTGTGTGTGTGTGCGCAATAGCCTGTCACAGAACCCCAACTCCCCCCCTGCAGCGGCACCCGGGGTCCTTACAATCTTGGCGTGGAAGGCAAGGCAGGCCTGTGGCCCTCATTCGTGTACAAGGGGACAGTATCCACAGACATACTCGCTGCCCAGACGTGGTCCCTGGGTCTCTGCCTCCACCGGCGGCCGGGGCGATGCTCGCACGCGACACTACCAGCACACGACTTAGCTGGACTTCACGCTGACGAGGATCACGATGAGGATGATGATGAGGACAAACAATATTAGGATCACAAGCATCTTCCGGTTCTTCTTCTGATACCGTTCTGCCTATAGGAAGTGGACAGGAAACAAGGGGCTCATTCTCCCCAAATCCAAAACCAGACATCTGCTTCAGGCTACATGTGTCCCCACCTCAGCTTGAGCTGAGAATCAATGTGGAGGTTAGGCCCCAGAATCCCAGAACCCCCTCCCTATCTGGGAAGTGCTCTAGCACTTGCTTGCTGTGTATCGGGAGGCCCCTGGCAGGGCTTGTGAGGGACCATCTAAGAGATGAGTACTGGCCTCCACCTGTCTGGAGGAAGATGTGAAGGGGAAACCAAAGGCTGAGAGCAGAAACCAGTCTACAGGACAGTCTATTGGACCCGAGGCTGCACTGACCCTGAGACCAGAAGAACCGACCCTTCTGACCAGGACCACAGTTAGATGGATCCTGATAGAATGGGAGAGTCATGTGGAACAGAACTTCAAATTTTTAAATATAAAACAAAACAACAACTGGTGAGCCTAGAGAACTCCCAGAGATGACTGGCCCGCGGATCCTCTTCAAACTTCAAACTTGAACAAACCTCTACGGTCACTTTAGAGCTAAATAGCAAGGAGTCTCCTATCCCCTGGAAGCACTGTGTTCCTTTTCAAACCAATCACCTACACGCAAACCAAGAGTCCACTATCACACTACAACAGAGATGAGAAGGTAAGGAGGCAGGGAAGCTAGATGTGAGATGAATGGAAATGGAGCAAACAGAAGTCATGACTGCTCACGCAAAGTGCAAAATGGTTGAGTGGGAACAGAGAACACAAGACCCAGATGGCCGGCCTCCCGTCGCTTCTCTGCACGGCAGCTTTGGTTCTCAACAGAGCCTTGCAGATCCACACACACTTTCACTAAGAAACTTCACTAGGTTGAAGTGGAGGTCCACAGCAGGTCCTGTTCTGCCTTCCCTGGTTGGCGTACAGCTGGTTGTCTTGGCCGAGCCTCTAGTCCTCGCTATACCATTGGGCTATCCCACAGAGAGCTGCTGCTGGCATCCAACACTCCCCTGCACTCCTTGAGTTTCTCTGTGACCCACGGGCCTACCAGGTCCACCAGGGAAGACGCTGGGAGGGCCAGATGTCCCAGGGAGGGCGAAGTCGACTGCACTGACTCTTCTAATCAGTAAGCAGAGCACTGGGGAGACCCACACTCAATAATGTAAGTTGGCGTTGCTCAGGATTTATAAAGTAGAACGTAAAACAAAACATTTCATTTCCCCTAGATTAGTTCCCTCCCGCAGAGAAGGCTCCCCTTTATCTGTGCTCAGTGACTCGATTTTATTAAGAAACTTCCAAACCAGTGCATAATTCAATAGTGTGTCACAACCAGGGTATTTGAGTCAGAGACAGAAGTGACGTTCCACTCCTGTAATATACAGACTTGCAGTCCAATGAATCTCCCGTTTCAGAAGCCCACTTCTCTTTCCCATCATGCCCTGGGACCAACATCTGCAGGGTCTGACTGTCAAGCCACCAATCGATGCTTCTTAGACAGGGCTTCCCTGCTGCAGGAAGCGACAGTGTGCTCATTACAGCGTTAGACAGGGAAGAGAAGGAATCTTACGCACTCCAAGGAAGGAAAGCATACACCCAAGTACACGCAAGATCCAGGCAGCTGTCTACACTTGTGTCTCCCCTAGCTGATGGGCAAGGCTTCCGAGGCGCTTTCTACTCACTGTTTACAAAGAAAAAATAAGTATCGTGAAACAGCTCCCTTCACTAGCCACCTTATTAACAAAGCCTAAGACAACTAAGACGCCCCCTTCTCTCTCCTCAAGGTGACGCACAGAGAAGCAGCGGTAATTAAAAAGGAAAATGAGATTTTTGTCTTCTCCAGAAAGTGTCTCCACCAGCAATTCATCAAATATCTGTCATAAGAGACGCCGAGTCAGCACAAGCAGCAGACAGATTTCCCACACATACTGTAGCAAATACCTGTTCAACTGACTTCCTCAAAAAACAAGGACTCAAAGGAAGATGTACTTTCTCAAAGGACGAAAACTCCAACCCCTTTAGGGTATACGGTCTCCACAAATCACGCTTAGAGCTCGCAGATCTAAGGGTGGGCATACCAGCAACTGTAAACTGCAACAAAACGGGCCACAACCCACACTGTGGGCTTTGAGTGAAAAGTGAAACGTAAACCGTGCCATCAGTTCCCCTCTGACTCACAGTGACCCCACAGGACAGAGCAGAGCAGAGCAGAACCACTCCTTAGGGTTTCTGACACTGTCATCTTTACCAGAACAGTTGGTGGGTTTGAATCACCGATCTTGTGGCTAGCAGCCCAAGATCCTACTCCACCACCAGGACTCCCTAAATAGGATGGTGGTTGTTGGGAAGTGCTGTCCAGTTGGTTCTGACTCGTAGGGACCCTGTAGAGGGTTTCCGAGGAGCAGCTGGTGGGTTTGAACCACCAACCTTACGGCTCACAGTCCGGTGCTGATCCAACAGTATTAAGGACAATACGTATATATATTTTATATATATATATATGTATGTATGTATATATACAAGAATGATTAAGACAGTGATGACAGAAGAGCCATCCGCTTATGCACTCTGGCTATTTGATAATAGTTCCAAACATTCCGAGCTGTTACCTTGTGAAGCTGCTTCAAGCCATCTTCGGTTTTGATACAGGACTGCTCAATGTTGTAGTCAATTCTGTCAAGGACCGTACCCTGAGCAACAAATGACAGGGACGGACGATCAACAAGCGCAGCTGGGAAAAGGTGCTTCCAAACTGCTATACGCTCAGTGCAGGCATTACGGTCCAGAGGTCTAGCTGTCCCCCTTCTCTGTGTGGCTAGGTACAAGCTGCAGGCTCTGGGCCCATCATCAGGCAACATGACGTGGTCAACGGCAGAGTGCTGTCTTCTCAGCAGTAAAACCGAGCTGGTGAGAAACCAACACTCAAAAATTGGAGGCTTCTTGTTTGGATTGTCACTAGGGGAAAAAAATCAAACCCAGGCCTGTGTAGGGTGTTTCTGAGGCTATGAACCCTATGGGAGCAGACTGCCTTGTCTGTCTCCCTTGGAGTGGCTGGTGGGTTTGAACTGTGGCCCTGGCAGTTAGCATCCCAGCACCAAAGCCACCAGAAGACAGGCCGTATTCAGCCCATAAAGGGGCTCTGAGTGGCCGGGGCTAGACCTGTGAGATCAGGCTGCAAGCTGACTATTGTGTTGTAAATGTGGACACAGGTCTCCCTGAGTCAGAGCAAAAATGCTAAGTTCCACTCACCAGCTAAAAATACAAAAGTAATTTGCCTGAGGGAGAACTGTGGCTTTTAAAAAAAAAAAAAAAAAAAAAAAACTGACCTCCTGGTTCAAGTAGGAAGAAAGAGATACTGGGTTATACAGAACAGAGCTCTTATTGGAAACATGTTGTTTCTGAGGAGATAGCAGCTCACTCGCTGGGAACCGCAGGAGTAATGAGTATAACCAGATCTCTCAGAGCCTCGACGTGCCATTCAGCAGTTGGTTTTGGGGAAGGGAGGGCGGGCCAGGATCCATGTCCCTGCTGGCAAGATAATAAAATGCTCTTTTTTTTTCTAATAGTGATCACACAATTTAATTTGACTTGAAAGCTAGTGGTTCCAGTCACCATTACACAGCAATCGGCCAAAATCAGAAGGGAGAGCGTATCAGTGTTCTGATGTCATGGCTGAGTGGGTAAGAGTCAACCCACCAGGTCTCCAAAGTCAGGTGGGTTCTGGCTAGGGAACACAAGAGTGCCCATTGGTGTTCTAGCTCTCGCCCTAATGACAGCAGCCTATGGATCTAACTGTACACACACACGCCCATTCCTGACGGAGTGCAGGGCAAAGTCTGGAGAGAGCAGATGCCCACATAAGCTGGCACACCTGCTCCACGATCATCGCCCCCAGGTTCCTGAAGATGTCGCTGAGGTCCGCGATGGACCGCACCATCTGGAGGATGTCCCTCTCACGCTCCTCCACCAGCAGCGTGTTCTGTTCCACCAGTATCAGCTGCTCGTCGGTCAGACCCTAGGTGTCAGAACACAAGGTGCAGGCTCGGAAGGGTGGCAGGTCAGCTGGTGCCCCAGCTCAGGAGGGCTATGCTGAACCATCTTAGATTCGATAAGGAAAGCAGATTTGGCCAACACCTCTGTTGAGCACATGAACAACATCTGTCATAAGCAAGCACTGCTTTCCCCTTGGCAGAACAGATCCGAGCTCTCCCAGCAGCAGGGGGCGGGGTATGGAGAGAAGCCCCACCTCTGCAGCTACACCAGGCCTGACACCAGCAAAACCACCAAGGGTGACCGTGTGCTTCTCTGCGCTCTGGAAGGTTCCAGAAGGCAGACAACTAGGTCTCCCTACAGCCTCTGGGCAGGAAGAGACACCATGACCCCACCTCTGCTCTCCAGACTGCTACACAGACCATGGGACGGACACATGGGTGAAACCGGGCTGGGGCACGTGCACACCGAGAGAAGCTGAGAGAAGCCCCGCTGGGCAGCCATCCATTCTGCGGCCCCTTCACATACCCGGTCATACAGAGTATGATCCTCTCCATCATCCACTAGTGGTACTGATGTAGCAAAAAAGTGCTGGGATCTTTCCTCTCGGCTCTTCATGCCTATCACAGATAGGAATTCACTTTACTTGCACATGTAACCATCCTGGCAGCTGTCCCATCATTAAAAGGGGGAGTGAATCTAGAGTAAAACTCAACAGTCAAAATGGAATGGCCTCAGCATCTTGGGGCGGAGAGAGAGGAGAGGAGCCTACAGACAACAGGCAAGCAGTGAGGTTAGGGAAGACGAAGCCAGCACTCTGAATGTTTACTGGACACTTGAGGCCACGACTGAAATGACACTCCCCAGCTTCTGAGCATCTCTAAGTGAAACAGTAATATGTACTCCAACTGCTCCTACAAAATACACTCTTTAAATCGGTACTTCTTGCTAGAAGCCTCTAATATCAATTTCAAATGGCCCCAGTCAAATTTTAGGAGGAATAAAATTAAAATACGAGTTTGCCAACTGTAAAGGCAGGCGAGCCAGGTAGTTCAGAGTATCGGGGCCAGAGAGGCAATGAGGTATATTATAAGGGCACTTGAACAAGGACGCAGCGGACACCAGATGCAGGTTACTTGGGGCGAAAAGCTGCTCCACAGTGTGGCCAGAGGGGAGCCTGTCAGATTCCCAGGAAATCTTGTTCTAATGACAAACAGGGGACTTTCATTCCAAAACTATTTCTACCCTTATAAGAGTAAACCCCAATATCTATAAAGTACCAGGTTTTTAAAATTCCCCTTAAAAAAAAAAAAATTATTTGAAAATTCTTCAAACTTGACCTAAAATACAATCTGCTGTCTGGTGGCCTCACCTGCTCAGCCCGCCTACCCACCCACGGTGTGCAACCGTCCCAGCTAACCACAGGAGGTGACACTCACGTCTGAGGTAGCCGGACTGTGCGTGCCGGAAGCTGGTGGACAGCCCCTGCAGGATCTGCGCCAGGGCAGTCACCACGTTGCGGAGGAGCCGCGCCTCCTGCTCCGAGCAGCTCCTATGCGCCCTGCTAGGCAGGGTCTGCACCGCCCTCTGGCACCTGTGGAAGAGCTGGGAGAACAGAGAGATCCTCTGCTTGCTCGGGGGACAGACTTGAATCAGTGGAGGCAGAGTACTCTGCCCGCTTCTCCCCCACTAGCCCTGAGGCAGGAACTAGGACTCATATCAGCCCATTCTACAGGTGAGAAACCTAGAGTCAGAGGGACCCCAGAAGCAGTAGGTCCTTGCATGATATTCAAAACCGCCCACTCCTGAGTCCTTTCCCACAGCACCACAATGCTCCTTCCTGAACCAGTGCCTCTGTCATCCACGTTGATGTACATTCACACTGGTCCTATTTTGGAACTGGTCTAATTTAACATTTTATACAAAAGGAGCCCAGTGGGGCAGTGGTTGGATGCCGAACCCGCTAGTCACTCCGCCAGAGGAAGATGTACCAGTCTGCTTCCATAAGACTTCAGCCCTGTAAACCCCACAGTTACGGGGTGCTCCTACTGTCCTACAGAGTCACTATGGGTCACAGCTGACCTGCTGGCAGTGGTTTTAAGTTTTTGGATGATACTCATTGTTAAATGCTGTTCACTCGGTTCCAACTGACAGTGACCCCGAGAAGCAGCTGGTGGGTTTGAACCACAAACCTTGCGGTTCAAGCCGACCTTGTGGTCCAGTGCATTATCCTGCAGGACCCTGCAGGGTACTAACAGAATGACTCTTTCTAGGGCAGCAGCTCCCAATATTGTCAATAATAAGGACCAAATTTTAGCCTAAAACAATGTTTCAAGGACTCAAATAAGAGAAGCTATATATTCTAAGCCGAGTACCGGATGGAGCAATGCACTGACAGTTGTATTTGATCAGTCCACTGCGGAGGACACCAGACCTCCCTGAGGTCACTCTGAGACTCAAGCTGTATGCCTCTGTGACCTCACACTGTACTGTGTCAGCCGGCCTCACCTGCGTGATCTCTTGCGTGGTGATCTCAATGGCGTGCTCCTCCTCACGGCTGTCGTCCAGGGTGGGTCTGTTTAAATATTTGTCGTGAAGGCTGGCTAATTCTTTCATCTTTTGTTTGATCCGGCCGACGTCATACTGGATCTAAACACATGAAGTCACCAGGGCCCCACTGAAGTCTGGCAGGTCCCCATCTACTCAGAGATGAGGAACTACACTCAGGAGACCCTACGGCTGGCTCTCGTGGAAGCCACGTTTAACTCGAGGAACCAAATGGTAAAACTGAGGTTGGACTCGTTCACACACACATACACACACACCTTTTCCTTGTGGTATGTGAGCTGAATCAACCCAAAGCTCACGGTTTTCTAGAGAAGGGCGTTCAGGTTCACCCGGATGACATTTTATTCCAGATTAGCTTAAAATGTTTTTGTGTTCCCATGATTTAAAACATGGTAGCGCAGTACTTACAAGTCAGGCTGCTAACCTCATGGTCAGCAGTTCGAAACTACTGTAATTCCGCAGGAGAAAGATAAGGCTTTCTGTTCCCGTAAAGATTTACAGCCTTGGAAACCCTATGCAGGGTCGCAATGAGTCAAAATTGACTCCACCGCACACAACCACCACCATCACAAGATAACATGAAACTAACATCCAACTTACTTCGTCCACTCCATCCACCCATTTTGGGGGTAACCGCTTTGTCACACCAATGGCTGCTTCTGGGTCTAAACTCAGGCCTGACACCAGAGCCATGCGGTCATCAGCAAGCTGTGGGGAAAAGCGACAGGATAAAACATGACTGGGACCCAGTGTGGATTGCACACTTAAATGGTGCTCCCTAAAGGGCCACAGAAACACACTTGCTTTTGATACTGCTAGCCTTGGAGTGTCTCCCTATCTTTTCATGCACCAGCTCTTAACTTCCTTGGACATGCTTGTGAGCATGAATCTGACTTACTTTGGCTGTAGAAACGTAATGAAAAACTCAACACCGAGATCCTTAGGAGAGAGACCTTGTAGAGCTCGCTTGTACTTGAGAGAAGAACATGAGGTGCACAGAAATGTGGCCTAGGCTGCCAGTGTGACTAACACAAAAAGTCTCCAAAGGACTATGGTTTCCTTCAACACGCTGAGCTGCTCTGGGAACCAGGGCCGCTCCACGTATCTGAGGCACAAGATCATTAACGGTGTGTTTAAAGGTGTGCAGGAACGGCTTATAACGGAGTGTAAATCATCCAGCGTTTGGCAAAAGCAATCCTTAAAATCTCAATGCAATCTTACACCGTCATTGCTTTTCTCAGTAAAATGTCCACAGGCCACATTTCCACTTATTCTGAAATGACATCAATAGTTCTTGTTTATTTTAACTGTATAACCTGCCGCCTTAGAAAGCTTTTCCAAAGTGCGGGCTGCACCTTGCTAAGCAGCTTTCTGGCCCAGGGGCTGGGGATAGGTGGAAAGGGACCTGCAGAGCCCTCCAGAGCAAACAATTTGTAAATGCCAGTTTCAAAAGATCCAAATGATGACTGAAAAATAATGGGAAAGCATCTGTAAAAGCCCTTCCTAGTAACACTTTATAAATGTTCTCAGTCACATTGTAGGATCGGGTGGGGAGTGTGGGTGCCTTTCCTTCCCTCTTCCCTGCATTTATCTAAACTCATTTTTTCATTCATTTGGTGGGTACTTGTTTGCTTTTCTAACAATAAAGAAGCCAAGATGGAAATGAAAATTCAACGCCTGTTAACAAGCCCCAAATCCTTGTCTGAAAAGCAAACTGGGACCTGTACTGACCCCCATGCCTCCTTCAACTTCCAGCATTCTGGGGGCTGTCGTGACACCAAAGGACCAACCCTTCCCTCCCCCCACACACACACATTCGGAGCCAGCTTCCCAGGGCTCCATTTCAGCTCTGACACAGGGGCATGGAGAACTCCCCACCACTGCCACCTTTGTGGGGTGTCTAAGTTCCCTCCCAGGAACCTGACGGCTCCAATGACTAAAGGAGGAAATGAAAACCCAGGAAGGTAAGTGGCTTACCCAAGGTCACAGAGCTATTACGTGATAGATTAAACCTGGGACACTTCACCAGTTGCCAATCACGCTGACAGGACCATGAAATATAATTGCAATTTGCTAAGAAAACGACTGAGGACCACAGGCCAGAGGGTCAGAAAAACAACAGAGTGCAGTGCTCTGGCCTGTTCCCCACAAGGCAGCAGACGACACCCACCGGGGCCACAGTCCCCTCCCCTTAGCAGCCACCTCCTGACCAGATGGGTGTCAGCTCTTACTGGATGGGAGGGCCACATGGACGCACGTCTGCCTCCAGATGCCTGCGTTTACAGAGGTCACAGGATTCCCACCGGGCCAGCAGACATCCTTGCAGCATGTGTGCAGCCACTGTACTGTGACCGAGTAATACTACTGTACTGCTTAAAAACACACATGAAACGAACCCAGGAAGGGCACCCTCATGCTCCATGTTACCAGCGTTACTGTGATCCACCAGAGCATCTGAGACAAATGCACAGCCATAAACTACTCCAGAAAAGGCCGCAAAGTGGACACAACAGACGTGTTCCCCAAACCCCTGTGGAACTAAAAAGTAGGGAGGACACTTTTACAGGAACCTCGGGAGCTTGCTAATCAGGACAGTCTTCCACAAGACAGGGGCCCGCCCACCTGTCCGGCCTCAGCTTTTCCATAAATGACTGGCATGTACCTAGTAACAGAAGGGCTCTCTTAGGGGCTGAAATGTTCACAGGGAATGATCTGTTCCCTTTATGATCCATTCTGTAAGAAATGGCTTCTTAGGATGAAGGACCTCTGCCCTACTAGGAACTGTACCATTTCCTGTCCAGAAGGAATTGGAATATATATCATGCTATTGTTAAGTACTGTCGAGTTGGTTCTGACTCATAGCAACCCTGTACAGGGTTTCCAGAGAGCAGCTGGTGGGTTTGAACCACTGACCTTGCGCTTAGCAGTCTAGTGCTTATCCTACAGTACCACACCAGGACTCCAATATATATGATAAATGTGATTTTTTTTGGCTTTTTGTTTTTTCAAAAAGAACAATGTTTTGGGAAGGGAAAACATAATTGAAGAAAAAGCTGTCAACTGTTTGAAATGAATACAATTACGAACATAAAAATGTATTTTAAGTGCAATATTGTCACCTTCAAATGCAGAACCATACTTCCCATTTGAAAATATGTTTTCTGAACTTTTTTAAAGATCTAGAGTATCTGTTTTCGAGCTGCCACCCTATTAAACGCTGATGTAGATTCTAGCAACCCCATGTGACAAAGCATAAGTAACCCACAGGGTTTCCGAGGCCGCCAGGGCAGAGCACCAGGCCTTTCTCCTGCACAGCTGCTACTGGGTTAGAACCACCAACCTCAGCCACTGCACCACCAAGCTGCTTACCCTGTTCAGTACAGACCTTATAAATGCACCCATTTTGTATCCTGTTTACCTACTCTACCCTTCAAACGTTGGTTATTAAAGCATTTCAGTGTGTGTGTGTGTGTGTGTGTGTGTGTGTGAGAGAGAGAGAGAGAGAGAGAGAAAAATGCACACCACCCGCTCCCATCTCCCATTCCTGTTCTAGGACCAGCAACACTGGTTACGCTGTCACACTGTGTAGACACTCTACCATTCTGCTGTAGCGCCCACTTCCACACGGCCCACTCTGCGAGGCTTTAAAGCAGCTGCTCAGCCACCTGTCTTGTGGTGGTGGTTGTGAACCGTGGAGTCACTTCTGACTCACAGCGACCCTGTATGGGGTTTCTACGGCTGTCTTTATGGGAACAGAAAGCCTCATCTTTCTCCCATGCAATGCCTGGTAGATTTGAACTGCTGACCTTGCAGTTTGCAACACAACTCATAACTCACTACACTACCAGGGCTCCTTGTTAAGTGCCAATCAAGTGGGTTCCAACTCATAGCGACCCTGTGTAGAGTTTCCAAGGAGCAACTAGTGAGCTTGAACCTCCAACCTTGTGTTCAATCTGACTTTGTGGTCCAGCACATTAACCCGCAGCTACTCTCCTAGAGGTCTTTAAAAAAAAAAAAAAAGACGCAGACTCCGGGAGACAGTCTTTACTCTTTGGGGTGAATGAACTCTTACTTACTTTACAGGTGACTTCAGGAGATAGTTTCAATTCATTAAAGGGTTTCTTAAACGGACATATACTTTTAAAGTTAAAAATCTTTCCAATTTTTGTTATAACAAGAAACTTAGAAAAACTGCATGTAAACAATTACAAATATGATCATTGCTGTCTCCACTCTGTAGCTGAGTCCTGACCCCAGCCATCTACATTCCTTCAGAAAAATACAGAGCAGCGGGCTCACACCACTCCCCCACCAGTCCACTGAGGTAATGACCTGCTGCCCTGGGGCCACTTCAGACAAGAGAATGGACAGTGGGGACACACACAAACAAACAGACTTCTAAATCTTGCTGTTTTTATTCTCATAAACTTACTCTTAGCCAAGACTAATCTAGCATAACTGGGAAATCAGATACGTTCAAACAGAACCACCACGAAGTCCAGCTATAGCACACTGGGAATCAGAGACACACTGACAATGCTGGTTGTCTGTGGCCGTGAGCATTTAAAAGGTCCAGAACTCGGCCCAGGACAGTCTCACCTCCACCTGAAACAGCCTCCAGCACGCAGCACGCAGCCTGGGAAGCAGGGCGAAGCCTTTAACAGATGAGCAGAATGCCTGGGTTCTCGGAGGCCATGGCCACAGGAGAACCACGGCTCAGTGCTGCCTTTGGTTTTTAACCAGTGATCTCTTTTTGGTTGTGTTTTTAGGTTTTTATTATGAATTGAGTGATCATTTACACGAGAGAACATCAGTTTTACACTCATTTCATTGCAATGATTACAATGTCCGCTGTGCATCAGCATTCGATAGTATTTGCTTCTATTCCCTGTTTTTTCTTCTTTTTGTACACAAAAAACTTAGGAATATATAATAATTTAAACAACCAAAGGACACAATCTGTAAGTCTGCCTTCTGGCCACCAGCACCTGGCCACCAGCACACAGTCTCTCTCTTTCCATGAGTCTAGAGCCCTCAGCTGCTCCCTCTCTCCATGTCATCATCGCTGCCTCCATCTCTGGTGTGACTGCTTCTATGGATAGGGTCCCACATTTTACCTGTACTCTTCTTCCTTGATGGTCCTAGGGTCCTCTGTTCCTGGACTGTACAATTACTACTCCCCTCTTTTTGTTACAAAACTTCTACCTTTACAGTTGTGACAGTCACAATTAGTCATGATAACAATTACTCACTATTGAATCATAGAATCTTATCCCCATCTCCTTTCACCAGACCCATCTAGACAAGATGAATACTTTTCAGTAGGGATTTTGGATTTCCCCACATCCTCTGAAACTAAGCTCCCTCTTGAAAACTTGTAAGCTAATCACTTTGTGCCTTAATACCGCCCTTACCCCTCATTTTTTAGGTAGCCAAAGTCTAAGTTGCCTGTCCCTATCAATCCTGTATACAGAGAGGATAGGATAAATCCTTGATATGAAGATGCCTTCCCTCTCAGTTGGTATTTTGAGCTATTACAGCTGTAAGTATAGGTCAAGTTCATCAAATTCTAGCAATTTACACTTGTTTCCTTTATCAAAAAAAAAAAAAAAAATCTTCTTCCAGTCAAGTGCTGGTCATCAAGTCATCAAATCTAGGTCGAATGGGTACTGTCTACAAGTGTGGGCATTCTTGTGCCTCTCCCCGCA